CTCACTGAAAGGAACAGCTCTTCTTAACATAAACTCAACAATGAGGTTCCATGAATAGTTCCATTATAATGACACGAAAATGTCTGGACTGGTTGACGTCCATGTGAAACACTTGGAAGAAATCTTAGCCTATCGATTAATGAATGGTAGTTTTCTAATGAAGATTATAAAGCGAGGAAATATCAACGTCCCTCAAGATAGGGTAAACCGTTGGGCTGGGATTTTCCCAGCGAGGGGAGAGTCGTGATTCTTGGATGGGGGTCGTAGATACGAAAATTTGAGTCGTATTCAAAGCCGTTAAGTGGGGCGGTGGTGATGAAGTTATCAGCGGAAATGGGCGAGGGTGTGTTAATTTACTAAATTTTTTTATTTATAATTTAGTGTTTCAAAAGCTGTATATACTTCTCCTGTGTTAGGCTTTAATTTTAGAAGTGGACTGGGGTGGCGTCAAGAGATGGCTGGCAGGGTGCAACGACATAATCGAGCATCTACCGCTAAAGAGGCTTGTATGGGAAACCTTTTAGAGGGCGTGCAATTTTGAATTGGCACAGCCTGGCATGAGATAGAAGAAGAGGAAAGAATAAGAAAACAGAGGACCCCAAGGAAAAAAAAACAATTTGAGGCATAATTGTTCTACAAATAGAATAAAAGATGGAATAGTAAGACGGCTAGTTACATGAATAATCGGCAATATCGTTGCATTATCGAAGATTTTCGGGGAGACCACGACAATATTTTCAAAAGTGTCGATCAACCAGCAGTTAGCCAAAATAATCTAAGAATGCTGTGTGGGGCAAAAGTACGAGAAGAAATGAAAAAAATAAGTGAAAAAGAGAGAGGAGAATAATGAAAAAGAAAAAATGAAAAAAAATAGAAAAAGGAAAAAACTCGGGTGTTTGCCGATTTGACAATTAGGTGCAGTCAAGAAGATATAAAAACGGGAAAGAGAATATGCGGAAGTGAACGTTTTAAAAATCTTCAAAAACAAGGATCAAAGCAACAAAGAAAAACAGCCTCAATTTCAAAAAAAACCTTACCTCCTTATTCCTGTCTTGTCTATTCGCGTAAGACTGTTTGAGTTGCTGAGATTCGGGGAAGTGATGGTAGCCCTTGGGACCCATACCACGTTGCCATTACAGGCACTCGCGCACGGTACGTGTGTGACAGTGAACGGTGTGCGATCGGCTCCAGCTGGGAACTTCCGCTGCACAAGCCGCGGTGACATCAAACTGTCTGCAACAAAAGAGCAATGATTAGTTGACAACGAGGATCTGCAAAGTCGTCTATTGTCGAAAGTACCACTTGAATTAGGCATCAAATCGGTAGCCTTGAAAGTGTAGGCGAAACTCGCTCCGAATGAGGCGACAGCAGGGGAATGCAAGGACACGCAACATAAACTTCCACCCGACCAAGAATGATGCTATCAGAAACGAACTCTATTGTTAGATTTGAATTAGCAATGGAAACTCACACTATCTACATGGGATTATCAGCAGATTAATTTCAGAAGGCATCAGTAGTAAGAGAGATAGAGCCAGTAAAAGAAACAAGATAGAGCTGCAACGGCCGCAATGCATAATTACCTGTTCAGGGGGTCACTGAGATAGAAGAATCCTCAAAAAATTTTTTGCCCCCACATCAAAGAAGAAGCTTAACGGGCTTGAACGCAATCGGTAGCGTGCACAATGATCAAGGAGACAGTAAAGCATAATCATTCTGAATACACAATTAATTAACACCAGTCTCGCTAGCCTGCCCCTCTCAAGATGAAGCCTGTCCAAGCTGAAATTAGGCTGGTGTCAGAGTCCGCGATCCGTCGCAGGTTTCGCTGATTTTCGCGATTTGCGCGATTTGCGCGATTTCGCGATTTGCGCGATTTGCGCGATTTTCGCGATTTGCGCGATTTCGCGATTCACGCGACGGGTCACGGAAATCACAAGTGCCCGATCAATACTGCAAGGTGTTCTCCAATCCTGCCGCCACTTCTGCTTGATAGTGATGGCTGAATGACGACTGCTCATGATTCCACTTGTTTCATATTCAGTGTTTCAAATGTTCACACACTTGCAATTTTTGCGATCCGTCGCGTGAATCGCGCAAATCGCGGACTCTGACACCAGCCTTAAGAGGATGTATGAGATCGAAGGACCAGCTTAAGAATGAGATTGAAATGCTTTTCAGGAGAAAAAAGCTCGAAAATTTTCCAAAAATAGTTCGAAAAGCTCTCTACCATTTGATTTCAATGTGTTCCCCATGCCATGTTTTTTAGAAATTGAGGTCAATCAATATTTTTAACATAGAGGTGATTTAGGTGTTCATTTCGCAACTAAATCCTTGACCTGAGAGTGTTGACACAGAAAGAGCCTTCAAACTTTGCAAGGATTCATTAGCCTCGTACTTTTCTTCACATATTAACAATGTAATAGAACGTCTTCATGATATGAGAACAAGTAATTCGCTAGATGTAAAAACCTCCTCAGGGCCCAGAACTTGTACTGCGTTTGCTACATCTCAACAAATAGAAAAAAATTTGAATTCAAGAACATTCTTCCTCAATGAAACATGATCATTGTGAAATGGACCGCACCTAGAAAATCTTGCTCAAGCGTGCGGCCTCAGCCATTTAGCTAATGAACCCAGAAAAAAAGGAGGAACGAAATGCACCATGACCGCATGCCGACGTGGAAAAAGAACCAAAACAGGGCCCCATTTAATGTCCTACACATATTTTGGAGGCAGAAAAAGAAAGAAATACGAAATGGGAACAATACAATACGG